TGTGTGTGTGTGTGTGTGTGTGTGTGTGTGTGTGTGTGTGTGTGTGTTTTGGAGCTGCATATGCTTTGTTCCATTGTGACACAACTCTGGTGCAGACCCAACACACAAACATCTAAAAGTACTGGGGAGGCCATGATGCAAAGTAAATTCTTAACTTCCAGTCAGTGTCTTGTCAACAGATGCCCTAACAGACAAGAAACTGTTTGGTCTAAAGCTTTRGCTATACCTTTTGTGAACACTTAATCTTTAATTTGCAGGATTATAGTTGCACTGTTGTTTATGCCAATTTTTTTGTAAGTGCAACCTTCCCAGAAGTTCTTTCACACACAAACCTGCTCATTCTCCGCACACTCATCTCTCCATTTACTGCAGAACTGGTGACATTGGGGTGGTAAGAGGCTGTAAATTAGGAATTCCTCATTTGAACCACATGATTCAGCTATTAGTGCTTCATGGAGCGTGAAGTTGTGTGCTTTTGCTCTTAAAAAACTTTGTTCCCAGTTGGTGAGCCTGCTTTTCCTGTCTGAGCAGCTCCCCTTTGTCTCTGGGTTCTGCCTATACATAAGGCTTTTCCTAATCATTATTTACCTTGGACCAAAGGCCTAATATCTGAGTTAGTGGTTTGCAAGCAGGAGGTTCTACTGTTCCAGACACAACACAGCTTATTGCATCTGTCAAAGCTTTATAGTGTTATGCGAGGTCAACCAGTGGGTCCTCTGGAAAGAAGATCAGCGAGTTCAAAGCGTAGTGTTAAAAAATGTGCACATTGTAGCAAAGATGAATTAACATCAAAAGCATAAGGATATGATTTATGTCCAAAAAATAACCTAATAAGATGTTATTTTATTATAAACTGTATATAATTATTTTAAATGTCTCATCTTTGAGTTTTGAGGACATTGTATTTTGTTGCTCCAGTCTGAAATTGGAAACTATACCCATTCCATGCTTCTTCTTGAAAATAATTTAATTAGAAAAATGCTATAATGATCCCAACAGGAAATTAAATTGCTCCAGTGCATTGCTAGTCAAAAGAAGTATAAATGAAAAACTAAGACAGGTGGATTTTATCCTGAAGGAATGTCCTGTCCTTTTACAAAAAGTCTTTGTAGCAGGTTATCAGGAATTACCTGCTGTTCACGTCCTTATTGCAGTAGAGCTAATAAAGTTTTTGACTAAAGACACTGTCGGTTTATCGTTTAAAATTTGTGGAGGGTGTGCAATCATTTCTCTTATTTTAAGCAACTTGTGTAAAAAAAACTTTAAAATAAATATGGTCCTCCACCATTCCCACCACTTCTCAAGGATGGGCATGATTTTTGGCACATTTCTGTTTTTCCTATAAAGTCCACAAACTTTGTTGTTATTATTTCATCTGATAGTAGGCCAACTACTAATAACTTGACCAGCTGTCCACCCCTGATAACCCTTATACTTCAGTGTCATCTGAGTATTTCTACAGATGACAGGATGAGTTTTCTGAGTCTGGAAGACTGAAAGTTTTCGAAAAATGCAAACTGATATGTGTCATCAGAAAGAGCTCACAAAGGAAATCCAGAGACATAGTAAAAGCTGTTTATATTGTTATTTTCTTTAAAATCATACCTCTCTTTGTGTGCTGTAATATGACAGCAACTATATTATAAAAGTAATAATTTACMTTTTCTTTTCTCTATTAGCCAGAGGCAAAAAAAACAAAACATCAGAAACAGGTTTGGAAATATAAAAGTTATTTGTGCAGGTTTGTAATCATGCAAAGTGATCTCAGATGTTGCTCGGTATGCCGGTGAAGGTAAATCAAACTCACAGGACCCCTTGCTCTCCCACTTATTACTCTAGTTTTCACCTTTCTGCCTCCCCCCAAGGCTCAAATGTCCTCAGACCTGCACATTTCAGGAAAGCAAAATCACAAAATAAATCTGTTCAGATGACATGCTGAAAAAAAATCTTATAAATTAAAATAATGTGTAAAATTGCTTTGCAAAATAAAATAGTGAACACTGAGGAAATGCTTGGAAATAAATCTGTCATGACAGTTGTTAAGGTTTGTGGGTCACACAGAATTTATATAAAACTCTTGGAAATCATTTCCTGAGACTTTAGCCTTGTGTTTTCACTGGATCATCACAAAAGTTGTTCATTATTTGGTTTTTACAGAATAACAATTGTTTACACATGAAGAACCACTTATAGTCTCTCAGGGTATGTTTCTAAATCTAAAACAGACTGACTTCCAACCTTGCAATATAATCTTTATTGGCTTTTTGAAATGCAAACCCATGAATTCTGAATCCAAGCAGTTTTACCTGACGTAAAGTTGGCCTTTGTGTTGATGCCTCATGTTTGTGCAGTTTTAGTTTTTGTCTTTTGACTTTCAAAACAGTTTTTTTTTCTTTTTCTGGGTGTGTTTGGATGTGTGTGTGTGGTTGAATGTAATTACAGATAACACCTGGTAGCAAGGCAGCCCAAGGTGACCTGTGTCCAGGGGACACCATTCTGGCCATCAATGGTGACAGCACAGAGAACATGACACACATGGAGGCTCAGAACAGAATAAAAATGTGCACCCAGCAGCTCACACTCAGCATCATCAGGTAAGAAAATATCCAATTGTTCTCTGGGGGGAAAATACTTATCATTGAAATCTGGTGTTTTCTGAAGAAGCATTTGCAACTTTGCTACTTATAAACMTTTCCAGAAATGAGTGTGGAGTTTTCTTGCTAATTGAATCAAACTGAAACTACGGACGATTTGAGTTTCATTTTACACCGAGCACGGCTAAGGCTGATGTAATGGTATTTATGTTCAGAGCAACACAATTTTTGTTAATGCCGTCGATCATTTCTTTAACTGTCAACACAAGATTCAAATTAATTTTTATTCTGAGCTTCACCAAGCAAAGCAAGATTAAAACTAAATGTGGTGATTTTTATGATTACTGCCAATATATTTAATCCAAAACCACATATTGTTTCTGTTTGTATTTGGTCTTTAGGGTCTATTACAGATGAGTCATAGTAAAGTTGACAGGTTTACAGCAGTTTAAATGATCTAGTTGGTTCTCTCATAGAACACCATCAAAGTCAGTGAGGCTTGTACTTAMATTGGTTAGATTGTGACCTTTACAAATGGTCCAGAGGGGATATTTTACATTTTATTAGTTTATAAACTGACCAATGATCTTCCAATCTCCAGACTGATGGAGAATCTCAGACTGAGTGTAGGAATGAACAGTTGTGAGAAATTAAACAATCCTGACATTTAAACAGTGTCAATGTTTATTTACCAAAAAGCTAAATCAAAATAGAAAGTAGTGTGTGAACAATTGAAACACATTCAGTTCATTAATTTGTAGAGCCATATTTTACAGAATMTTTTCTACGATCTAATCTGTTTTTCACTTTTTGAGGCCTTTTTTCCTTACATTGTTGCTTGGTTTATTGAAGTTTTTAAATTTCACACTCGTTTTATTTGACCGAAGTCTTGATTTTGACTATAACTTTGTGACATTTTGATTCCTTACTTTGTTTTAGTCATTTTGTAATTTGGTATCATACTGTAGGTTATTGTCCTGTTGAGTGACTCAATTTGGATWAACTTTTGTCACTGACACAAGGCCTCATGTTTGACTCTAGAATACTTACACCATGCTTCATGGCCAAACCTCTCCACTATCATTTTGTCTGTTGAGAAAATGTACTTACAGATATTTTGTGGCTTGTTGCGATGGAAAGATACAAACCCATG